TTGGCATTTTTGCACAAAACCTTTGTCCCCTCCGAGGGCAAGGAACTCGATGGAGAATGCCAGGAGGTTCTTTACCAATGAGGAGGAGGATGCTACAGCCGGGATTTCAATTCCCCCACTGTTTCTCCTTGAAAGGGGCCGGACTCTGCCCACGTGGCAGAGCTTGGGTGTTCACTCCATGGGGCAGGCAACCAGGCCACATCGCTTTTACCATGTGGCTTGACAGGGGAAAGGCAGCTCCCTCTTACAAAGGCCTTGCACAGCAGCAGAGTGAAAAAGGAGTGCAGTCCTGAGGACAGAGTGTCAGGGTGTGACTGGTGGGATCTGGGTTTGAATTCCGGCTCTGCCGCAGAAACCCATGGGGGGTGAGGAGTGGCAAGGACACACCACTCCTCACATAACTCACATATCTAGAAAATCCATAATTTGGAAGTGGCTTGATGGCAGATAACAGCATAGTGGCTGTGTGGCTTCTCAGATCATACTGTCCGAGACACTCAAATGCAGCAGTAGAAGCCAGAGGCTCAGGGCTCTTCCCACCCCCGGAGGGGCCAAGCAGGGTGGCATTTAAGCCCTTACTCCACCTCATCTGTACGTCAGTGACGTTTCAAAGGTCTTGCTGGGCACTGATGGACAGGCTCCAAAATCTGAGGCAAGGAAAATCCGTGCTTTGCCCAAGGCCAGGGGGCAGATCACCCCCAGGTGCCTGGACACGGCTGCAAAATGCCCATCTCTGGATCTTGGATGTTCCCACAATACCCGTTCCTGATTTTTGCTTCCTTTTAAAAAATCCTTATTTTAGTCCCAAAAAAGGCCTACTGGTTGCCCTCTAGTGGTTATTTAAAAAATGTTTCAGAGACCTATTAGACCAATGCATAATCCTGGCCTTAGGATCTGAATTCTGTCTTAAATAATTACTGGCAAAGTCGTCCCTCGACTGCAGGGGCTGCAACTTCAAGACCAACTCTGAGAAAGTGAAGATTTCCCTCTCTGAGGAAAAGCATGTTGTTGCAGACCACACAAGACTATGCGGCAAACACTTCTCCTATATGGGAAAATGTGGGTCCCCAAGCAAGCTTTCGCAAACCAGCACAGAGCAGTCCGGGCCACCTAGCCACCAACCAGGTTTTCAGTGCAAAATTCACTCCTTCACTACATCACCAGCCAGGTTTATAATTGCATTATAGAAAATAGTAAAAAGAAACATGTAGATGCTCTAATGCTCGGCCGGGGGGGGGGCGGCTCGGCCCCCTCCTGCAATCCGGTTGTGTGTGGTCCTTCAAGGCACTCCGCTGTGCTGATGACCACACTCCCCACTCCTAGGACAGAGGGGTCCCCAGTTACCTGGGGGCTCCCAAAAGGTTTTCTACCCTAGCCCTCCTCTATTGAAACTGGCAGGCAGGAATGGAGGACAATAATAAACCACCCTCCCCGCTCCTTGCTGGGCGACACAAACTCTGCCTCCCCCTAGGAAGGCACATTATCACTCGGCTGAGATAAGTCAAGGCTAGATCACGATGTCTGAAAGTATGGACATGATACACTGCTTAGGCCTCACGTTGTGTGGCTGCCATGGCACATTCGCAAAACAATGTACGAATGAGTTTTATATACAGTAAGTCAAGGCTAGATCACGATGTCTGAAAGTATGGACATGATACACCGCTTAGGCCTCACGTTATGTGGCTGCCATGGCACATTCGCAAAACAATGTACGAATGAGTTTTATATACTACCTTTCAAATCCAAGAGACATCCTGAGGTTCCTGGACCACAGCTCTTACTCACATCTTACGAGTGCGTTTTGTGTGTCTTTTTGTCTGAGTCTGTTGATTACAATAAACCATGCCGCTGATGGCACAAGCCGTGTTACGGCAAGGCGCAACCACCCTGCCAGGTCTCCTGGAATAAACCATGCCGCTGATGGCACAAGCTGTGTTACGGCAAGGCGCAAACACCTTGCGAGGTCACCAAGCTCCACAGGGCGAAGGAGAAACGCGAGAGACAAAAGCTGGCCGAAGGAGGCACCCTTTCAAAACAAGCGGCCCAGGAGAACGGAGGGAGCTTTTGCAACCTGCCTCTTCACGCCCGCCTTCCAGGAGGAACCTGAACCAACCCTGAAGGTAGAGCCGGAGAAGATGCATTTTCCCAAATGCACCCACAGGGAGAGAGAAACCTACTCAGAGGGTGTTTGTCCTCAGAGAGACTCCCACCACGCAAGCCGCCTGGCCCTGGATGGGGGCACCGGGCCAACTCTGAGCAGGGAGCATCAAACAAGCACAGACAAGAAGGGCCAGCCCCCGACACACGGCGGTGGAGAGATTACCAACCAGGCTAAGGAGTCCACTAAGCCCCAGGAAGCCTGTCAACAGCCTTTAAGACATAAGACATAAGAAATTTATTTGTCATTGCGCTCACAAGTGGGTGCAACGAAATCAAACAAGCACAGACAAGAAGGGCCAGCCCCCAAGACATAGTGGTGGAGAGATTACCCACCAGGCTAAGGAGTCCACTAAGCCCCGGGAAGCCTGTCAACAGCCTTTAGGGGGCGGTGGCGGTACAAAAAAAAGTTAAAATATACGCAACTTTAGGGGGCGGCGGCGGCAAGGACTTCCCAGCTGCCTGCTGAAAGTCCAGCAGGAAAGCCTTCCGGACCCGCAGGCGAGCAACAGAGGAAGGAAAAGCAGGAGCCGGTGGGTTTTTAAACATCGTTCTTTGGAAAGCATTCTAGAGCAAAGAGAAAAGGACCGGGGGGGGAGGGGGTTTGCGGACGGACGTTTCCTCTCCTGCAGCTTTTGAAACCGAGCCACGTGTCGCCTCCACTTGGGCGCAGGGAACAATGGGGGGGGAGCAGGGATTTAACGGCAGCGACGCGCATTCTTGGCATTCGTTTTTTGCTGACGCATGGAAGCCCGGCCCCGACTCTTCTCTGCAAAGCACATTAAAACACACACAGGAGCCGCCACCAGCTCGCAATTAGGTCAATGAGGGGAAGGATGGAGTCATTTCCGATCAAAGGACAAAGGCGTCCACCCTGCCCGGAGCCACGGGCGACACTCCCACCAGCGGGGGTGTGTGTGTGTGTCTTCAAAGTGCCTTGCTGGGAAGGGGAAACTCCAGCAGTCAACACACAGTTTTGTCCCCCCCCAGACCTGCCCAGAGCCCTTTTGTCCCCTCCACTGCATTTCCCCAGTACTGTACTAGAATTTACTTCTGGTTCAGGGTGGGTGGGTGGAATAAATAAAATCAGAAACCACCCCCTATGCACAGCACAGCCATGAATCTTGCTTTGGAGGAGAAGTGCTGCTTACATTGGCTTCTGGGAACAGGAGGGGTCTCCTTCGTAGGCCAACATCCTCACCTCAGTGAAGTGAGGCGGGGGCCTACTTTCCCCTTGTACAGGAGTCCCGGGAAACGGGTGGGGGGCTTTGGGCTTCCAGAGAAGGTTCCTTCCTCATGAGAGACGGAGATGCATTTTGCACCTGCACGAAGCCTCTTCATGTTTCAACCCACTTTAATATTGCTTTTCCATTTTGTCCAAACCAGGATACTAGGGTTACTTGATTAAACCATGGTTTGAAGTTGTTTTCAGATCCTGGCTTGTTCCAAAGTGGTAACCCAATTCAGACAAAACTGGGAATGACGATTACAGACTGCCATCGTTTAGCTGCACCCACTGAGAAGAAAAAAGGGCAAAAGCCTGGATTTTGTAAGGGGAAAACTCTCGTTCATACCTTGATTTAATGAACTGAAATGCTGTCCTCTGAAAAAGGCCACTGTGTCTTGATAGCCAGTTTGCCAAATGACACAGAGGGGGAGGCAGGATGTGGAGAGAGAGAGAAAAGAGAAAGTCTCAAGGGGCCCGGGAAACGAACACAGCACCCCAAAATGCTCTCTTCTCCCACAACTGGAAGGCACCAGGCAAGAGAAGGCTGTCCTTACGGCATGGTATTTAACAGACTCTGCCCTCTTTCACCTCTTCTTTCCAGCCATACATAGTCCCCAGACAAAGGCCTGCATTTTTTGATTAGTCTCCAAGTGCTGTGGATTATGAACGTGAAAATGTAAATTTCCCTAATCGCCTCTACAAGGTCTTAAAACAGCCTACAAAACAAACTGGGCTACATCAAAACAGCCGATGCCGGGAGTGTTGCAAGCCGTGCTTTTTAAAAGCAACTCTGACCTGGGCTTTCCACCAACAAGAAGCAAGCCGCTGCAGGTAACGGAGCCCACAGGGAAACACATTCCTTGTCCCAAAGGGGAAGAAGCAAAAAAACAAGGGGATCGCAAAAGGGAACTCTGTGTCCCAGCACAACAGCTGGAGATGCCAGGGAAAAAGGCACCCCTGACACGTGCCGAGCAGCCACTGGCAGGAGGGCTCCCTCCAGCATTATTTTTGACCCCGGCCCTGAAGCTGAGAGATGCTGTTCCCTACCCTTGCGTGAAAGCTGAGTGAAACGCCCCTCTGCCCATTTCCCCCCCCCCAGGTAGCACAGGACCTTCCGTCCCGTTGCCTAGTAGAGAGGATCAAAGGAGTGACAAGGGGGGGGGGGAGAGCTGAGAATGAGCTCCCTCTGACCAGAGGCCTCGCCCAGTCCAACCCTTGCCCTGGATGCAGGCCGGGAGCTGCATCTAGTTTAACTGAGTCAGTGATTTTGCCCCTTTCCTCATGAAAAATAATGCATGCAGCTTGCAATAAAATGGCACAGGACTGCAATTGAACTAAAGCGAGAAAACGACACAAGCAACATAAAACTGAAGATGATTTCACAGGGAGCAAAACTAGGCAAGGTGGAGGGAGGAAGCAGAATCATTCTCCATTAAAACCACAGGCCACACGTCTTCAAAGCAAGCTATACAGACACTGACATTCCCTGCTGAAGACACAAAGAGAGCAGGGCCACCAACACCCTCTGCTCCAAGGCTCTGTGGCCACCAGAGCTGGTTCGGGGGCTGAGGCTGCCCAGCAAGCCAAGGCAAAGGGGATTCTCATCACCTACCGGAAGCAAGAGGTGTGCCACGCTTCCTTCACAGTCCTGTAGAGCCTCTGCCCAGCTGCGATGCTCTCCCCGCATCCCAAACACCTCCATTCTTCTTCACCTGCAGAGAAGAGCAAAGACCAGTCAGTTTGGAATGACCCCGGAAGAGCGCGAGAACCCCCTTCCTTTCCCTTCCCTGCCTCGCCTGTGTGGCTCCCATCAGCTGCCAATCCTCGCCACGAGGCTTCCTCTGACCGTTCTGCTAGCTGCAGGATGGGGAGCTGTGCATGAGCTTAAACCGACCACCATCCTTGAGAACCTGGCTCAACAGGTGACCAGCAGGAGGTTCAGCAGAAAAGCCTCTAGCATTCTGCAGCAACCAGAGAGATTTCTCAGCAGCAGGTGAGAAGATGGAGAGAGTCACTTTCTACTGAGGGAGCCCCTTGCTGTACCTGACCCAGTTCTGCCAACTCTTGATTGGCAGCCATCACCTCCAGAGTTTCAGGCAGGGCTCCTTCCTAGTCCCACCTGGAGAATCCTGGGGTTCCCTGGTGGTCCTTCCCCCATAGGACAAACCCAAGAACTCACCTTGCTTAGCTGCCCAAATCAAAGGGGACCTGTGTGTTCACGATGATGGCACGGGGCAAAAATCTCTTTCCACTGCTGCCCCCCCCAACCACTGGCCTGCTGCCTCGAAAGCCAGAGGCTCCGTAGTCTAAACAGGAAATAGGGTTGCTAGCAGTGGGCTACGGGTTCTGTTCCTGGCATTGAATTGTTTTCCTCCTCAAGCCATCTAAGCTAGGCAACGATCGACACAGCGTGTGGCAGCAGGATACGGCTGCCAGGCCAAAGTTTATTGCAAAGTTCAAAGCTCTCCAAGTGTCCTTGTGAAAGCTATCTCTGGATCCAGAAAAGGCGATACGGAAAAGCCCAGCTCCTGATTCCAGTAGTCAGGCTGGTCTGCACAGCTGCTTCGAGAACCCTTTCCAATGGCACTGAAGCTTAGTTTAGTTTTCAAAGGTATTCTTTATTTAAAGTACTGATCGATCACACTTCTTCCTATTAGGCCCGCCAAACAAGGCACAATGAGATATATTAAAGCAGGACTTAAAAGACAACATAGAAAGCAAAAGGGCCACAAAAAATAACCCTGTGTTAACCACTTTACGGAAGCTTGGCCAGAATGGAATGAACATGACTTCCTATGGGAAGAAATCTCATGTTCAAGATGCAGCTACAGCACAACCTGTCTCATATATCAAGCTTCTCCAAAGTGGTGGGAGACACAACATAGCCTCTGTGAAATTCTTAGCAGACTAATACGGGAAGAGGTGGAAGGGAGCATCTCAGGCTCCAGGCCAGCTGCATATAATACTCACAGAAGATGGGAATAAAATAGTAAGCCACTCTCAAGGAAGGCTGGTCCCAGGTCACTGGCTGGGTGTGTGTGTGTGTCAGAAAACAGAACACAACATGTATCTTAGTAATGTAACAATAAACCTTATTGCTTCTGAAGGCAGAAGAATCACTCACTCATACACACATACAGTATATGTGTATAGTGAGACTTATGGAATAATAAAACTGGTTTACTCTTTTATAGCCCCAAGTGGAAACTTCAAAAGTAACAAATGAGCATGTGCAGGAATGTATAAATAAAAGCAACTACTAAAAAGTAGCTGCAACAAAGACAGCTTTCTCTGTTAAGATTATTTAGACTACATGATCAGGAAATGTTTTATTTGTGTTCTCGAAGGCTTTCAAGGCCGGGATCTGATGGTTGCTGTGGGTTTTCATGCTCTTTGGCCGTGTTCTGAAGGTTGTTCTTCCTGACGTTTCGCCAGTCTCTGTGGCCAGCATCTTCAGAGGACTCCAGTCCTCTGAAGATGCCGGCCAGAGACTGGCAAAACTTCTGGAAGAACAACCTACAGAACACGGCCAAAGAGCATGAAAACCCACAGCAACCAAATGTTTTAATTTATATTTGTTTAATATGACCTGGTGAATATAAACTTTCTGGATTCACTCTGATGCCCAGTTATGGACACTTCCACATTCCCTCTCTTCATCTTTACTAATTCTAGGTATTTTTACCTGGAAAACCCTGAAAACAGTCACTCCAAGTCAGAACTGACTTGGCGGCATGTGTTTTTTTATTACTATGATTTCCACAGAGTTGCCTGGCAAGAATCTAGCCTACTACGAGAGCATTTGGAGAGCTGGAAGCAGGCACCCACTTTGTGCAGGATGCTGCCCATGCTGTACATGAATTATCTTTGAAACAGAACAACGGTCCTCTGAAGCTGTGCAGTGGACGAAACCAGCTGATAGCTAGGGAAATTGTTTCAATATTGTGGAATTTTAAACTAAGAAACCTGATGAATCTCAGGAACAGAGAGGTTTCTTGTTCTGTGGACCTCCAATCTGTTGGGCCCATGAAAGCCACACCAGCGGCAAAAGGCACCACCCAAGACATTAAGCATCACTTCTCTTCCTTCCTGTTCCAACAAATTCAAGTCCTCTCTTCCTCAAAGGTCATGTTTAACTGCAGGAATCTGCCACTGCCTTGCTTGATTTCCATATTACAAGATGCCTTATCTGTCTTTTCTTTTTGTATGCATTCCCAGACAAAGCAAAGTGCAAGCCTTTCAGAAAACAGTTACTTAGGCCTGGCTGCAAGAGATCTACAATGTGTTCCAGAACTATAGATTTTAGCACCTGTCAAAGAAGACTGCACAAATATACAGTATCCTTAAACGTATTCTGAAGGAGCCTTGGAATTTTGTAAACACAGCCTGCATTGCAAAACTGCACGCATACACGCATCAATATCGTAATTCTAGCGGAATCCAGGGCTTAGAATGCAATGGCTTCACCCACCCTCCAAGTGCTCCTGCCCAGTTTTTGTTCTTATTGTTCACTGTCTTCTCCCTCTGCCCACACGGGGCAAGAGGTGGCAGTAGGGGAAGGCTTGCATTTGTCCTCTTAGTGATCTGCAAGATCTCCTTGTTGCAGCTGTGAGGCGGCAGGCCAAATCCTGTATTCTAGGAAGGTTTGCCAGCTTTAAAATCATATTCACAGGTTCTGATAGCTCAAGGCTAGCTGAAGTCAAGCAAGGTAGTTAAAAGTCCATGCCAATACCTATTAAAATCAACAGGGGGTTGGTACAGATTTTTACCGAATGGGAACGCAGCTGCAGACACGTCAATAAACACACGTAGCCCAGCAGATTTACAAGTAAGCAAGTGAGGTGTAAGGAAGTAAGGAATCAACCCACGATGGTCTAATAAACTTCAGCGTTCGTCTCAGCATCACATGCCAGACTCACGACTATGAGCTTGGTTTACTTTCCCCTACATGAGGAGTACATAAGACTGTATCTCTCCCAGCTCTGCCAGTTAAAACAAAACCTTCTTCTACAGTTAACTTTCTCAGACAACTTGTGGCCTTCCAGAGGCTCCTGGCTGGCCATCTTTATCTATTGTTGCTAGTACAACCAGGGGCAAGGAAAAGATGAGAGCTGTCACCCAGCAACATCAGCACCCATGGGCTTAGGGTCGTCTCTCAGTCCTTCTGCCATAAAACCTGACAAGAGATCAAGTCCTGCACAGAAATATTCAACATAGCACCTCTGAGCATATGTTGAGCATTTTTCTCCTCCTCCCACAGCTGAGAGGATTACAGAGGCGGCTACATCCAGCTAACAAGCTTGAATTCATTTATCCATTTCGAAAGGCTTTCTCAACTTTCTCAACCTTTCCGCTTATAAATTCCCAGCAGGAGCACTTGAAGAAATGGGCTATTGCAATCCATGAAAGCTTCTGCCGGGCAAAACTGGACAGTCTTCAAGGCGTCACAAGCCTCTTTGTCGATTCTGCAGCATCAGTCTAAAAGCAGTGGCTCCCAACATTTTCTGCCTGGTGACCCCCTTTTATAACAGCCAAGTAACCTGCGACACACAGCCCACCACGTTTGCATAAAAA